GATGGACATTGTTGCCGCTGCTGCATGGGCAATACTGAGATGCTCTGACCCCCTCCCTGGTGCCTGTTGTGTACCTGTGCTGGGGTGGGGGTGCACAGCCTCCGCTAGCTGGCAAGAGCGTGTGCTCCAGGCAAGGGCTCTTCCCTCCAGCAGGCTGCTCCTGCCTCCGTGGCACTGCGCCGTAGCCCCAGCACCCAGGAAGGAGAGGTAAAACCAACCCTCAGCTGGGTAGACACACACCAGCCCCTCTATAGGTCAAGACGATATGATGACATCTTAAGGGATGTTTGTGTGTTTCCTTGGAGAGAAAATTGAGGTTTGCTTGTTGTTAATTAAAAGGCAAGAAAATTTTAAAGGCTATTCGACACCAGACAGCCAGATTCCATTTCATCTCCCCAAATCCCTTCTCTCATTTCAGCTGGATACAGAAACTACTTATTTCCTCTTTCATTTATGGTCCTATTCAGTAGGCCGATTGGGAGCTTTTAAACAGCTGCCCTGTCCCATGGAGGGGTGGCTTGCCTTGTGGCAGAGGGATGAAGTGCTTCTTGGTCGGTTGATGGAGAAAATACTTTGGGGTTCTCTTAGAATTGCTTAAAAATGTGAAACTGCTCTTACTCCCAGCAGTTTGGGAGAGACATGGCAGATGTTTTTTCCTCAGTTTTGTGTTTTTTTTTTTTTTTCTGCTGTTGAGCCAAACTCCCCCATCTGCCTTGTCCGGGGCTGTTGCATTGAATCCTCTGCTGGTGTGAGCAGAGCGAGCTTCACGACTCCGAGTTGGAGCCGTTTTCTGAGGGACCAGGGGGGTCAGCAACTGGCAAACTTATTTCATCTGTATATCCTCCTGCCTGGCTCTTTTCCAGTGGCCTTGGAAAGGTAACACTGCAGTACTATTCCCTGTTGTTGAATTCACCCCATTCTGCTCCTTGCGGAGGTGAAGCACCTTTTGCAAGGTCAGCATTGCCTCCCCGTGTCACCTTTGTGGGTGCTAGCGGCTGGAGAGCTCGCAGCCAGCGCGGGAGCTCCCGTGCTGGTTTTGGTGCTCTCTCTCTGCCTTTGTTCCCTCTCCACCTACCTCTCCCACTTTCTCTCCTTCCTCGCCCCTCCTCTGATCTGGGGAGGGTTTTCCCTCCTGTGCTCTCAGCCCTGCGGTTTCCGCGAAGGCTGGCTGCCCTCTTTAGCATGCAGAGCCTCGTCTCTTCCAGGTTACGCAGAGGTGCCACAAAAATAGACACGAGAGACAAACGCCCCATTGAAGCAGCTGGCGAGCCCTGGCTCCGTTCCCTGCTCCCTCCCATCTACAGTCGCAGGGCTTTATTCGTTTGTGTTTCTTTATTCCTGTCGCTTGATCTGCCTTTTAAAAATACAAAATTGAGAGGCTGGTGGCTGGTAAAAGTCGTTTAATCCCCATTTCCCCATCCTAGGAGGAAAATGGCTAGCCACCCATGTCTGGGGTGTTCGATTTCCTCGCTCAGCTGTGCTCCCCTGCCTCCCAGCTCAGCCTGTGCTTTCATTCTTGCTTTGCCTCAGAGCCGACAGCTGCGTTGAGCTCCTTTGTGAGATGCTTGGAAGAGAGTTGGGAAAGATGGTAAATCTTGGGTCTGCTGCTTGGTACCCCAAGCCTTTGGGTTGTCACTGCTGCAGGTGCATGAAATGGTGTCAGGATGCTGTCTGGAGAGGTACCGATTTGTATGCTGGTGCAGTGGCACCATTAGCCCCGTGGCATTGGGGCTGGTGCTGGCACAGAGGGTTCCCAAGGTGTTGTCCTACTCCAGATCCACCCCATGAGGAACCTGGCTCGCTCGGGCTGTGTCTATTAATGACTTGTTCTTAGGGATGAGGTGGTGTGGTTTTATCTTGGGCTGAGGAGAGCAGAGCATCCCAGTAAACAAGATAATGCAGCTTAGGGGGTTTTAAGTGGGTAAACACTTCAGAGTTAAGTGAGGGTGAACAAACTCCCAGGATCTGAGCTTCCTGCATGGAAGGGATTAGCTCTCTGGGCGCCCAGGTTCACCTGCGCACGATGTGTGTTGTGGAGGTGGTGGGACGGGCTGGAGGCAGCCCAAACGCCATGCAGCTGATGGAAACTGGAGGGCTTGAGCCAGTCTTTGGAGCTGGTGCAGAGTCACGTTTTGAGGCTTTGCCTAACTGTCTGGGAGACCTGGGATGTGTTTTTTTAATGTGGCTGGAAAGCCAGAGCACCACATCAGCCGTGTCTCTGCTAATGGGAGTTGGGGGAAGCTGAGGCATCGGGGTGGATAAAGAGCTGACCTGGGACCCAGGCAGGCAGTTGCAGTCCCAACTACACCAGATTTTCCATGTGGCCTCGGACCTGCGATGGTCTCTCCCTACCCTTCTGCTCCCCTTTTCTGGATAACTTTGAGAATAATGCTTTTTTCTCCCGCTTGCTGCTCTCTGTCATGTTTGCTCAAGCCGTAAGCTCCTCACGACAAGTGCTGTGCGCTGTGCGGCGCGGGGCTCGGCAGTGCTCGGTGCTGGCGATGCAGGTCTCCTTGTGTGGGCACCATCACTTTGGAGCCTGGTGAGCACCACTGAATCGGCACGGGGGCTGGCCTGGCCGGGTCTCACCGCATCGGTGCTCATGCACAAGAGACGTGTGAACTCTTATTTCCAGGGGTGGACATCGCTGTGCGTGCACAGCTCATGGGAGCTCGTTCATCCCCAGGGATGCCCGGAGGCACTTTGGTTTGCTCTGTGATGCTGCAGTGGCTTCCTTTGGTGCTCTGCCTCTCTCGCCGTTCCCTTTCTGTTGCTGCCCTGGCCTCAGCTGATCTTGCCTTGGATCAATAGAACAAAATAAACAAGATTGAGAAGTGCTGAAGCCTGGCCCAAGTGTATATGGGAAAGAGAACCCAATATTGGATTTTACTCAGCTCAGAGAATAGCAGAGGAAAGTGGAGAGGGTCAGAGCAGGCAGAAGGCTTAAGAAATGCATTTCTGCCTTCCAGTGTTCCCAGGACAGGTTTGGTAATCAGCCTGGCAAGTGAGCAGCATCTCCCAAACTTTTAGTGCTAGAAGCCAATGTTTTCAGTGAAAACACCAGGGCCAGCCCCTCTGCCATTGCCCCATAGCTCGTCTTGGTACTTGCCATGATTTGAATTTGCCCTTCTGGGGAGTGGAGGCACAGGACATCGTGGTGGGAAGGAGCATCGGGAGGCTGCCTAGTCTGTGCCCTTGCCTGAAGGCAGTTCAGCCGTGCTTAAATCATTGCTGACCACGTGTGTCCAGATCTGCGTGCAGCATCCAGGTGATGTCTCAGCAGTGCTTTGTAAAATCTCTCTATTTCTAATACTGCAGGACTGTGCAGGCATTTTCACATCTGCATTCCCGTGACATCTCTGAGCTGTTTCTAACACAGGAGTTTCTCTCTTAAGACATTTCTAATGGCTGGTTTCCTATCTTGTATCAGAAATGTTTGGTGTTGGTTCTCAAGGTGGTGAGTTATCACTTTGTACTATTTCTTTTCATAATATTTCTGTTATTCCCATTCTCAAGATCACCTAGCTGTACCTACAGCCTTTCTGTGTGGTGAGGATGTCTCCTTGCTTTGTGTCCTTGGCTAATTTCATTATCATGTTCCTAATTTTTGTTCCAAGGTCACTTAGGAAAATGTTAAAGAACAGCAGAGCCAAGGACAGACCTTGAGGAATTCCAGTAATAGCCTCCCTCCAGCACAAGCCTCTGTCACTTTTCATATATCCAATGCCTTACAGTTGCCTTACAGTTTTTCTGCTCATTGGTGTCTTTTCTTGCCTCTCTGGTAATTCTGCATGAGGCACTGTATCAGGTATTTTGCTGAAGTCCAGCTGGATTAGATCTGCTGCATTTCTCTTGTCTAGAAAATCAGCTATCAAAGAAAAATACCAAATTAGTCTTCATTTCAGCTTATTCAATTAGTTAGTTCAGTGACTAGTTCATTAAGAATTGAGAAACTATGAGCTGAGAAGATGGGAAAACTTGTCCTTTTCTCTTCAAATCTATGAATAAAAATCAGCTGTGAGAGGATGAGATCTTCCAGTTTTAATGTGCTGAAGAACAGAGGGCTAGGAAGCAATTGGTTCAGTTCACCCGAATTAGCTACTTTGCTTGCTTAGCAAAAACTATTTTAAATGTAAAACATGTTTTAGTAATCTCATTTTTTCCTTATGTCTCCATATTTATCATGGTATTTATCGGTTGAATAAAGCCAAGTTCCAGGTGCTGTTTTCTTGCATTTTGATTGAAGTTCAATATGCATGTGAATGTACCTTGACATAAATTACAATTAAAGTCTCATCTAGAAATCAAGAAGTGTCAGTCAAACCTTCTAATAGATAAAATGGAAATAACAAGGCTATAATTGTTGAAAGAAAAGCGTAAAATGCAGCCTGCCTCCCTGCTTGGCGTTAGGTAGGTGTTTGCTGTTGGTACCTTTTAATTCTTGCCTGTCCCAGCGGAAACCAGGACAGGCAGTCCTGGAAAAAAAAAAAGTGAATGCAAAATGAAGTTCAAATCAATGATTGCTGATCTAAAACATGATTAATATTGGTGATGTAAATAATTGGGGTTTAAATGAGTCCCCCCACATATAACTGCGGATCAGGAGCACTAGGGTGAAATCTTGCCTGGGTGACAGTTGGATAGGAAACTGTCATTGACTTCATGGGGCCAGAATATCATGGCTTAAGTGTAAGACATTCCACCTCCTCTCCAGGATGGGTGATTAACAAGGCACCCCGTCCTTTCAAAGAGGGAAAAAACCTCAGAGAGGGTGAACCATCACTGCCCCATTGAAGAGAGGTGCCCCAGGCTGGATGGCTGCTTGGCACCGGCTCCTGGATGCGAATGCTCCTCTGTGTGGTTGTGGATGTTTCCCAAAACACCCTGGTTTTCCTCCTCAGCTGAGAGCATGGCCCATCTGAGGGGCAGGTTGCCCCAGAGGCAACAAGCCCAGTGGGTGTCCGTCCTATCTCTGATATGGGTTTACTGTCATTATACAGGGACCTTGTGCCTCTGCCTTGCCTCCTCGGAGGAGCCAACCACCGATGGCCTCACGTCAACGTCCCTGCTGGAGTTTGCCATGATGTCCAACCTGGAGGCCATGAGTTCCCATGAGCAAACCACCCCGGAGGCTGCGGAGCCCGATCTTGCCCCTGGCTCTCTGCACGCTGCTCCAGGATCGGGCTTTGCCAGTGAGGAGAATGAGGAGTCCAAGATCCTACAGCCCCCACAGTACTTCTGGGAAGATGGGGGAGAGCTCAATGACTCCAGCCTGGACTTGGGACCGGCAACAGGTAGGTTATTTTTACCCTGTTCTTCCTTCCTGCTCTGCAGGGACTCTGGGGAGGCAGAAGGATGCAGGGATCTGTTTTCCTGCTTTGACACGACTCTCGCTAAGAGGGCCTGAGATTAAACGTCAGCTCTATTTTCTAACCTCAGTGCCTGATGTGTCCCCAGTGAACCCTGAGCAAGCACAGGCTTTAGAAACCGAGTTACAGCTGAGCCTTTATTCCTGAGCTGCTCTGAGCTGGGAAAAGTATTGCTACCACCTAGCCTCCCATTGCCTCGTGCCCTTCTTTCTCTCTCTCCTTCCCCCTTTTGTGCTCTCTTCTCTCTCTCTTCTTTCTCTTGCTGTTAATTAAGTACAACCTAAAGGTCTCAAGACCCCGGCTCAGAGATCAAGGGCATCTTGGGGTTTGAGTCAAAGCTGGATTCCCTGGGCCAAATCCTGTATTCATCATCCTGTGACTTCAGTGGGGATTTGTCCCAAGAGAGGACAGCAGGTTCTCCCCCTTGGGCAGCTGTACTGCTGTCTGCTCCCTGGGGAGCCATGGCCAAAATTGGTTTTGTTAGTATTTGAGCTTGGTTTCTTCTGTGGAGTGTTTGCTATGTCCCCTCAGTGGTCTCCCCCCGAGCCCTCTCATGGGTTTGGGGATGCTCTCTGGGAGAGGGATGGGAGGAAGGAGGAGCAGTGTTGCAGGGTTTCCAGTAGCTTAGGAGATTGTTTCACATGCTCCTACTCTTAAGTGTCATGTGGGCCATGTATTAAGTGTTACCCAGGGGCCAGGCTTCAGCCTTATCCCTCCTCCCTTATCCGATGTCGCTGCCTCCCTCTCAGCAGGTCTGGCTGAGGTCTGCAGTTAGAAAGCACAAGTCTTGTTTTATCTTCACTTTGCCGACTAACATTGCTGCTCAGTTCATCTGGCCGTGCTCTTGCTGCCCTGTGGCTTGTGTGGCCCGCGGGGCACTTGCAGCCTGGCCACGGGGATGCTGTGCAGATGCTGCCTCCACGGCGATGCTCGGGGCGGATGGTGCGCGTTCCCACCAGCGCGTCCTAGGGACACGCTCTGGCTTAGCTGCTCTCCAGCGCTGGCAGCGTGCTCAGCGGCGCTTTTATTTGTGTGCCAGCAGGCACCTGCATGTGCTCACAGATCTGGACGTGACTTGGAGAACAGCGTGTGCTTGTGCATTGAGAGCGAGATGCTCTGGGTACCGAACCCAGCCTTGCCTCTTGCACGTGCCTCGCCCCATTTGCATGCAGAACACGCTCCTCTCTCCTTCCGTTCTTGCCTGCAGTGCTTTCCTCCGTGAACAGATGTGCTCTTTCAGCTGTCCTTTACGCTTACCCTGCCCTATCCACTACCCAGCTAGGGGCTTCTGTGCTTCCAAGCCCTGTTTTTTCCCCTGGCCGTTGCTATGTCCAGAGCTTGTGCCTTGGTGGTATTTCAGAACCTTGGTTAATAGAACATTTTAAATTATTCAAGAGCTGGGAGTGCATTTCTACTTAAAATTTAATTAGAAGCCTGCTGTGTGTCATTTTACAATAAAGGATATTGTAATGGCATCCCTAAATCGGGCAGCCTTTTCCTGCCATGCAAAGCCTGTGCATCAGGGGTGCACCCAGCCAAGGGATCTTCTGTGCTGCCTGTGTGACAGATGCCGTGTCATACCTTGTGGAACTGTGTAATGACATCTGTTAGGTTATTTTCAACATATAAATCCATTAAATAGTTTCAGACAGCTGCTGTTTAAGAAGAAAAAAAAGTTTATAAGGTTTGTTTTTTTTATGTGGGCTTTTTCTCTGAGCGACAGTGAAGTGTAGCCTGGCATAGCTGACAGCTCTGTCCCAGGCGTAGGTTTGAGACCCTGTATCAGTCAAGGCACAAAACAGGATTGTTATACTCCTGGAGAGAGAAAATTCCCTGCTATGAAAGGAGACCTATGCTAAAGGAGACCTCCTAAAGGTATTGGGCCTGGAAATGGTGGTCTTGTTGCAGATAGACCAGATCTCCTGAGATTTCAAAGCTCTATTACTCATCTCTCCTTTTTTTTTTTTATTTCCTTCTGAAGTCTGTGTGGGGAGACTCCTCTGCCTTTGCGTGACTTTGAGGCTGCAAGAGATAAAAAGTAATAACAATTTGCAGCTGCTGCTCCTTTTTTTTTTTTTTTTTTTAAAGTGCACTTGAACATCCTTTAAAAATATTTCTGGAGAACATGTGGCATCCAGGGCCACCTGTTAGTCCATTAGAAAGTGAGAACAAACTCCTACTGGCAGAGTGCAGCTCAGCCTGGGGCTCTGATTCTCCTGAATAATGTGCTTTTGCCGATTTATGCTACGGAACAGTAAATCAGTATTGACAGTGGTGAGCGCCAGCCTGTGGAAGGACCCTGAGATTTGTCTCGTTCTGTCCGAGTGCACACAGAGGCGCCCGCTTGTGTGTGTGCTAACCCGTGCACAGCTGCTACCCAGTGGAGCTGCAGCTGGAAGAGATGGAGGAGGTCTGGTGGGAATGGGGATCCCATATCTTTATGGAAGGCAGTGCTGTGTGACTCACACTTCAGTCAAGAGGCAGGTCAGTGGAGCTGTGAACCTGCTACTTCTGCATCCCGCTGCCTTCAGGCTTCCAGGGAACCCAGAAGCTTCTCAGGGTGTAGTCTGGGTTCAAGGACGTTGTTTCGCCTTTGGTATCAAATTGGCCCGAGCGACAGATCAACCCTGAAGACAGAGTGGACCTGCTGGGACTCACATCTGGCCCTGCTTGTCTTCTTTTCATTTTTTTCTACCTTCCCTATGATGTTTAGCCTGGAGGCCCCATGTTTCCCACTGTCACTGTGGATCCTCCTGGGCAATGGATGCCACATCTCCTCTAGCTTTAGGCGTAGAAGATGGGAGTCATTAGGGCTGCAGGTCCCTTTGAGTCCCTGATTTTTAGTGAAAGGGTTACACGGTGGCATATCCATCCTGGAGTGCTCCCTGGATTGCTGTGGCTCTGTCAGAACACGGTGCCCCACACGTTCCCCTTCCAGCGAAGGCTCTAGGTTGAGGTGGCCTAATCATTAATTGGTGGGAAGTGTGGGCTCCCGAAAGCTGATCTAAGACTTGTGAATGTCTGTTGAATAAAGGCACTTAGTCCCTCTCCTCCCTTGCCTGACAGCTGAGCCTTCAAGGATTGGAGTGCATCGTCACATCTACCAGTTTGCTCTGTTACAGCCAGGGTCTGCTGTTTTAGCTCCAAGTTTGTGCCTTTGAAGACCAAGGCATGGCTGTGCTGGGAGCTATCAAATCTAGTGTTCTAGGTTGGTGATTCACTAGGATGGCATGTGGCACTTTTGGGGGTGGGGGGGAGTTGTAATCTTGTAATTATTCATAGTAATTAGGAGAAGGGATTTCCAGGAGAGCTAGGATGAGGGATAGCAAGACAGACAAGTTAGGAGGACTGTATTCAAAGAAAAATAAGTTTTCTGACCCGCTAATGGGATAAAATATCTTCCATCCCCAACTCTTTTCTGATAGATTCACTTCCTTCCCTGGTAAATTTTCCTCTGACCAGAGAGATCCCAGTCTCTCCCAGCCTTCCTGAAATCTGCTGCCTCCTCATCCAGACTGACAGCAAATCTGCAGTTCTTAATACCATCTTCAACCCAAGCATTAATGAAATGAAGCACCTGGTAAAGACTGTCCACGTAAGAAGCTTAGCGCTGAGCAGCCCCTGCCTGAGCTCAGCTCCCGGGATGCCTCTTGTTTATGCCCTGGTTTGGTGTGCACTGACACGTTAGGTGATCTATCTTGGGACAAGCCATCTTCAGCAAGACACTGCTGGCAGAGCTGACCTGTGACAAAGAGGGTTTATTGGTGCATCGTGTTATTCTAGCACAGCTATCCCCGACCGACGCTGTGTTGGGGTGAGGGTTCTAGCCTTGCTGCAGTTCGTACAGGGAGCAGGAAAAAGGCACGGGGCTCTTTGGGAACAGCTGTAGCACTTGGTGCTTGGTCCCTACCTGAAGGAAATTCCAAACATAATGAGACTTAAGCACTTTGCTTCCCTGGGTCTCTCTTTTAACTATGATCTCTTGTGTGTATGCAGATAGGAACTTCTCCTAGCTCTTCTGGAAGATTAGGATATTAGCCCCAACTGGCTCAGTTCCAGCACCAATAATTGCATTTTGCCTCCTTGGAATCCCCCTGCCATTTCAATCAGATGCAGTATGCCTTTTTGCAGTGAGCCTTACTGCTCTGTACTGCAAAACAGAGAGCAGATACCACCTAAGCCCTGGCTGCGTTGTAAGCAGTGCTTGTACATCCCAAAGTTGGCAGTTGCTCTGATGTGAAGGGTGCTATCAAGCTGTGTTGTTGTGGTGGGACCCCAGGAATGTTCTTGTCTTTATTACAGTGGCTTCTAGTTATCAGTAATTCAATCACTGGTTAACATGATCTTCCAGTTTAATCCAATAAAGACCTTATGGTCGGGTTATGTGTACTAAAAGCAGTGAGGGTCACCCTTCTTCTGAGCTGTCACGGTCGCTTTAGACAGCGGAGAGTGGCAAACAGAGGGTAGGGAACCTGGTAAGGCAGTGACTGAGCCCAGCTCTTCTGAATGAAGGAGAAGCAGAAATGTAATGAATTAAATGTCTGGCAGGGGAACTGTGCTTTGGCACAGTGCCAAGTGTTGGCCCGGCTGGTGTCAGGGAAGTCTTGGTATTGATTTCAGAGGAAGCAGGACATTGCCTAAATGGCAGCTCGTGCAGAGGTGTGGAGCTCGTGTTCATCTCTCCCAGCGCAAATCATCTCCCTGAGCAAAGGAAACGGATCTGTGACCCAGAGCTAGGTCTGCGGGCAGGTGAAAGGGCAGGGCTTGGTGGTAGGAGGGCTGTACAAGGTGGTTTCTTTAGAAAATAGTGCCTGAGGGTCTGTGTGAGAGAGCTTGGAATGGGAAAGGGGTGGGGGAAGATGGATGCAGCTAGATGCTGCAAGATGAGTAATGTCGCTGCTGATGGAAGGCATTAAGGGCTGTAGCTAAGGATGTGGTGCAAAGAGGTGAGGTGGAGGTGTGGAATTTCATATCGGTGAGCCACACTCCCAAGGGGATGGTGTGACTGAGAAGCTCTGGAGAGTACATGACGCAGAGCTGGGGCTGCCTGCTACTCTCGTCTGGTCCATCCGTGCTCCACTGTCTGGCCTGAGAGGCTGGGACAGTTCGGTGGCTCCAGCGGGCAGTTCTGGGCAGTTCTCCCGAGCTGTCCCCCTCTGGTCAGGGTGGTTCCATCATGGCTTGGCTGCTCTTGTTTGTGTCTAGAAGGTGTACGGGGCATATGCCACCTCTGTGTGGTTCTTCAGGGGGGAAGCTCTTAGGCCTACATTGCACAGATGAGGGACAGAAACCGGCTTGTCTGGAAGGACCCTTGGGAGGAAGATGCTGGGACCAGTTGAGTGGCTGGGATCACACCAAGGAGATGGACAGGGTGTAGAAATTCCTTCCAATTGTAGAGGAGGAACGTAAACTAACAGAAAATATGAATGCCTTAAAGAGACCTGACCTGGAGAACTGGACAGATGCCCTTGGTACTGAGACAGTAGGAGGTCTTGTAAAACAGAAGCCTGATGAGAGAGAGTGGGATGGGTTCTCCCTGAGCTTCCATCGCCTGGAAGAGATGGTGGAGGTGGCAGACCCTCCAGCGTCCTTAGATCTTGGTGGAAAGGCAGCGTGGCTGCACCACGCAGGGCTTTCCCCCATGGGAGCTAGCTAATCTGTGACAGAGCACCTTAAGGAAAGGTTGAATGTGGGACTTCAAAGGAAAAATGCCAAGCTAGGAGCATTTCTAGCTCCCGTGGGGCAAACCTCATGCAGCTTTTTCCTGGTCTGTTTTTCTGCTGTGCCAGTTCTTGCACTCCTCCAGGTGGGAAGAGGGGCAGGGAAGAGAGGAGGTGCAGAGGAGCTGAGAATAGCTGGGAGTGTCTTAGGCAAAGGAGATGGCAGATTGGATCACTGATCCTTGAAAATAACATCTCATCTGGCAGGGGCTTGTTCTAAGGGGTGAAACCCTGACTGTTCACCCACAGCAGGTCAGGACAGGCAGGGTTCCTGGATTTTGGTGCAAGCCCTCAGTATCACTGCAGCAGGAGGAGCAGCAGAGCCCTGGGAGATGCTCTAAACCTTCACCATCTGTCTGAAGAGGGTCCTGACCTCGTGTCCTCACTCATGGTCTGTGGCTTTTCTACTGCTAACCACCATCCATGTAGCGAGGTGGTGACTGTGTCTGCAGGCACTGGGACGTGTAGCTGGTGGTAAGGGCCCTTGGGAAGAGCAGTGCCAGGCAGGAGGGGAGATGGCTTTTTGTTTGTGCTGCCTCTGATTGCTCTTCCCAGCCTCCTTGGCCTCTGAGGGATCATCACCAGGTAGGCTGTGGGGTAGCAGTCATCTTGTAATCCTCAGGACCTTTGGGTGGAATGGTGGTCAGGATGCGCGCTCTCTGTTGGAACAAAAAAAATCTCAGTGGCCTGTTTGCAGCCAGAACGGGGACACAGCCACCATGTCAGGACCCTGAAGGTCAGCAGCTGGATCACGCTCATCTGTGGGCAACATCTGGAGGCAGCTGCTGATGGCATGAAGGGAATGAGCTGTGGGTTGGGGAGGACGCTTGCCAGCGGAACAGGAGCATCTTTGCACCTTGTGCTCAGGGTGGAGGGAGCACAGCGTGGTTCTCCACTCGGGAGGGATGGGGAGGAGCATGCAGGAACAGCATGGCCAGCCCTGGTTCCCAGGGGATATCAAAGGCCATGGATGTGTTTGCCGACATGGCCCTACCTGCTTGGAGCTCACATGTGCTCTGGCAGCAGCAAGCGATGGATTGGAGTCAGGGATGCACGGAGATTCCTTGTGCAGATCTCTGCAGTAAGGTATCCGGCCAGCTGCTGCCCACTGTGCTCACTGGAGCATCTGCTTTGGCAGGAGAGATGAGGGCCTTGGGGATTTCAGACAGTCACTTAATAACAGTAACCATAGACAGGGCAGGGCGCTTGTTTCTGGCTGCGGAGGGATCCTCCTCCTTTTGTCACTCAGAATGTGTGCTGCGCTCTTCTTGGGGAGAAAGGACATTAACTGGGATGCAGACTCCTGAACCTTGCTCCTTGGTTTAGTCAATTTCTCAGAAAGATGAAAGTTGATTTGTGCCTGCTGGATTTATGCCTGCCATTCTGACCTTAATGAGGCTGATCTTACAGATATTCTTCTTATCCCGGGATCCCAGCTCCTTGCTGGGCTTCCAGAAGAAGCCACTGCCTGCTCTGACCCTGCATTTGTGAGCTGCATCTTTCTCCTTCAGCCTCTGCATTTGTCTAGCAACATCACATGTGATCATCATCAGAGCCACAGAACAACCAAGGGCTGAAGTTGGAGGGAGGGGAGTTAGATTTAGCTCCTGTTTCTGGCTTCTGTTTCCCTGCAATAAAACTGTTCCTTAGTGACACGGAGAACTCATAATGCAGATGTTTGTGGGATGACTTTTCTGCTGTGAAGTGCTGTACAGACTGAAGTTCTGCATTTCAGAGATGCCCGGGTTGATTCAGGTTTTGGTGGTATGGCTTGGGTATGCCAGGGAGCAGGGTTTGGTTTGCTGTGCTGTTGTTTCTCTTCCCTAGCATTTCCCATTTAGCTTGTGGCTGACTGCTGCTGCCACCCAGTATCTATCTGAATCCCATGTGAAATTAATCCCTGGGTCCTAGCTTAATTCCTAACACTCATAACCCCACCTTGGAGGTGCCAGGTATCAAAGCTGTTATTTGTGGATATCCTGGCTAGCAAGTCTGTGAGAACACCTTCAGGACAGAAAGGAGTGGGGAGAATGAACATGTGGATTATCCCTAGGGAAACTGGCTTTGCTGGGATGGGACAAGGACCTGGGGAAATGCAGAAGGTTCCACTGCATTTGTCAGATGGGATTGTTCTTTTCAGTGGCAGGCTACCTGCAGTTAGAGGATCTCTGCCATTTGACCCCACGTGTGGCTAGACACATCTCATGGGGCCAGCTCTCTGCCTTTCAGAGCTCGTGGTTACGTGACGTGATGTGACATGAAGTCTTTTGGATCTCTTTGTAGATTACAGCTTTCCTGCTGCATCGCAGAAGGCCCTGCTGAAAGGGAATGGGACACAAGTGAAGGACAACTGGGAAACAGCCACTGTCCAGCCGCCAGCAGAATTTGTTGAGTCTGACTTGCACACGCCTTTCTCCAGCACGCTGGAGGAAGAGGAGGGGCTGCTCCCTATGGACAACTCAAGAGGAGGAGTAGAGAGCCACCAGACCTCTGGGCCAGAGGTTACATCTTCTGAACCAGTGGGACAAGAGGACTCCTTCTCCATTCTGTTCTCCACAGCCTCTGCCAGGCCGGGTGTTGTGACCGAGGCAGCCACGGGAGGGCAAGAAGAGGACTCTGTTCCTCCAGGCTTAGACCTTGGGAGCAGCATGGGACCAGGTCTTCTGCCTGTGTCCTCTATTTTTTCTACTACTACTGCTGCGAGGTCTCCCAGTACTTCTGAAGAGCCCTTCGAGGTGACAGCTGGGGACACATGGGCTGTTGGGGGAGCAGATTCGGAGCTGACTGTGACTACCACAAGAGCAGAGCTTGCAGAGACCACGGTAGAGGCTGGTGGGGAAGCGCATTCAGCCAGAGAGGAGGTCTCGGAGACCACGGTGGGATGGGAGATGCTGGAGCCCACAGTGCTAACGGAAGCGGAGCAGACCGTGGAAATTCCTGGGGGGACACCCTCTCCTGGAGGCAGCTCCCCAGGCACCCACGCTCTTTCTGGCAGTGAGCAGCACCCTGCTTCTTCTGTGTCTCCGTGGGACGGGGCTGGCAAGCCTGTGCTGGATCCCATTTGGAATGACACCGAGTCAGCCACTGAGACTGCGGCAACAGAGAAGAGCTTGTCACCGCAGGCTGGGGATGCCCGCATGGCCATGCTGCCGACAGAGCTGCCCTGGGACTCGGCACAGGTAGCACTGGGAGCAGGGAGTGGGTGGGAGGTTGTGGTGGAGATATTTGGGTGCTTTTCTCTGGGGGGATGTTTAATCCCTTAACGTTACCCACATCCTGAAGTCTGGCTGGTGGAAGTGGCTTTTTCTGCTCACCCAGCCAAAACTGGGTTCTGGGGGATGTTTCTCACAGCACTTGCTAAGGGCATCCATCACCCTTGGTGAAAGCCCTGCCCCCTAACATCTTCCCCAGTGAACTACTGCACGAAATCCTGCTTCCAAGAAACACCAGCCCTCTGGGGCATGCACAGCAGCAATAGCTCCTTGTTTCCTCAGCCTGTGTGATTGGAAGTGTCAGGACAAAAACAGCACCAAGGATTTCTGGAAAGGGAGTGAGAAGGGAGTGCTATTTTTGCTGCTGCTGCCTGCAGGGACCAGATGCAGAGCAGGTGGAGCAGAGTACAGAGATGTGTGAAGATGTTAGACTAGGAGAGCCTGTGGGAGAGGAAGGCTGAGGTGAACTGCAGTTCCTGAATCCAGCAAACTGGCAGCTGGTTAAGGAAAGATAGGTTGCAAGAGCTGGCTAGTATCAGGGAAAGCTTTTAATTTAGCTTTCTACTCCATAGCACTTAGGACCCAGAGCTTAGTCCCTCTGTGTGTCTGGTCCTTTCTGCAAAGTGCTGCTGTGTCTCACCAGTTTGTTTAGGGACCAAAGAGGCTCCTGGTTAGGTTTTGTGTTGTGCTGATCACATACAGGGTAAGGCTGCAGGCTGGAGAGCTTTCCACTGAGCACCTGAGTCCTCCTGGAGTCTAGGTACAGGTAGAAGGTGAGCTGGGCTGTGGCAGGCTGGCACAGTGCCTTGTCCCTGCCCCATTTGCTATTCCTGTGTTTCCTCCTTAGCACAGAGAGTTACAGGACAGTTACTTTCTTTGAGAAGTGCTTCTCTGGGGTATGGCCCAGCCCCTTGCTCCTGTCCCTTGTGTACCCTGTGCTTCCAGCAGGAGAGCTGCCTTTGCTACCCAGACCCAACTGTCTTTATGTCTTGTCTCTCCAGGTGATCTGCAAAGACTGGAGCAACCTTGCGGGGAAAAACTACATCATCCTGAATATGTCGGATAACATTGACTGTGTAAGTCAGTCCAGAGACTTGGTGGCGTGAGGGGAATAGTGCTTAGAGATGTGGAGGCAGGCACAGCTCTTGCTGTCTGCTGTCACTGCAAAACATTTTAAAAGCACTGAATCTCAAAGTCCCTATAGAGGCTGTGGAGAGAAGGGGAGGAGGACAGAAATATTGTAAGAGTGGGTGGAGAGAGAGGATTTTGCTCAAAGTCTAGCACATGTCAGTCCCATATTGGATTTTGACTTCTGGTTGCTAGTCTGTGCCTGGGTTGTCATGAGACATGAGGGCTTTTAACATTGCACCTCTCACTGGTAGGAAACATGGCAGGATTGAGGTGTGAGTCTCCCTCCCTCTCTGCCTTTTCCTTCCTCTCCTTCCGGGGTATGGTAACTGTTCCTCTGATGGCTCAGAGGAATAGGGACTCCCCATTTGCAGTGTGAATGGCTCGGTGTCAAGCAGCTATCAGTAAATCTTCCTTAAGTGTCTCTTCTCCCCACCCTGTTATCTTGTTCGTTAGCTGGGTCTGTTAACCAGCTATGCTCTGCTAATCTGATGCCTGTCCATCCATCCCCATAAAGCTGCAGTTAATTCATGAGCCCAGAGCCCCCTGTGGATCCCTGGTAAAAGGGCTGGTTCACCTCTGCTCAGCCTTCTGTCAGGCACTCTGAAACCAGCCGCGAAAGGCCTGAGGTCAAGGTGCCTTTCATAATTGTAAGAAATTATTACGAGCCTGACACGATACTATTCAATATATTCATCAACGA